TAGAAGAATTGATAATGTATTTTTAGCCTGTTATGCAATGAATCATACTCAGGATAGTTTATACTATAATTTGTTGAGCCTGAAAAATACTGTCACTTTTTAAGAGGCCAAGTTCAATATTAAAGCAGTTGCAAATTTTCCCAGGCTTGCAAATAAATGTGAAAAATGTTAGGATGCTTTGATGAATTGCAAGAAGAGGCTATACTTGCAGGAGGTCTGAAGTTCTTAAGTTTTGAAGTGGGCCCTACAAATTATAGTATAAACTATCCTGAGTATGATTCATTGCATAACAGGCTAAAAATACATTATCAATTCTTCTAGAAAGAAATTGCTGGCAGGTTGAAGGCAGTGAAAATGATGAAAGCAGCATCATGTTGCCAGGACCCAAATTCTTCCTTATGTGTATCACAGAGTTTGTATTCCAATGACACAATGATTCTTTTTGACATTTTGGTGAAAACCTTAGCTCTTGTTGGGTTTTCAAGTAATTCAAAACTGTGTTGGTCATGTTTCCTTTAACCAAACAATGATTTAGGTGACATCTTCTTGAAGAAAAAGTGAAGTTTCCTCATCGTAAATATAGTAAGGGGTCACTTTCCATTACATCATAATCCTTAAAAAATGGCCTTTGGTGAAAGGTTAAAGTCAGAGATAACCTATTCTTTTCTTTCACTGAGCTGATATTGGTCCCAAAGAATCACTGAGAGTGGAAACATGGGAATTAGGATGTACTATCCACACTTGCTACTAATGAAATAGATATTGATAAGGTCACCCTGTGGAGTACTTTACTATTATCCTAGATTCCACACAGTTGTAGTTATCATACCTAAGTTCAGTTTTAGAACAACAGAATTTGAAGGGACTTTGGAGATCTCCTAGTTCAAGCCACCACTCAAGCAGGAAATCCTATAGCATTTCAGACAAATTGTTATCCAAACTCTTCTTAAAAACCACCATTATTGTTCAATCAGATATGGTCAAATGCATGTTCTGGATATTCACTATTTTCCACAAAATGCATGAATCTGGATAAAACCCATTGGGAATGTTGCTTATTCCCACAAGCATGATAACATTTATTTAGAATTCCTTTGGAATTCTTTCTAATAGAAATTCCCACAACATTGTTCTTTCTTGCATAAGTTCCCACAAGGGGAAAAAAAATCGCCACTATAAAATCTCCAAAGTGGAAGTGTTCTGTGTGCCACTATAAGAAACTACAGTATGTCTTGGTCAGGGGTGGGTTTCAACCGGTTCGCGGCGGTCCCTGCGAACCGGTTGATCGGCGAACCTGGAAGTAAGTAACTTCCGGGAACGGCGAAGGCCCCCCCTGCACCCGCGCGCCCGCGCGCCCGCGCGCACTCCTTACCCGGTTTTGAC